TGCAAATTCTAGTTAATTTCCCTCTAGGATCATTCCTTTGGCAGCACGTTTGGCTGAATCTTCAGCTGTTTCAGGGATTTTAATTTTCAATAAACAAAGTCAGATTTTGATGTCTGATTTTTGCTGATTTTACAGGTTTTGACTTTACTGATTAAACAACTTAATAAAATTTCAGTCTGACATTTTAGATGCAGAGATTCAAAGTTTATGTACAGTATCTTTGCAGTATAAACACTTCTGCTTTTAACACTAAGATGAAACCCTGAGCTTTGATGGGAAGTGTTGCCTGTTCTCCGTGCTGCAGTGGCCTCCCAGGCTCCTGATGATGTCACCACAGCTTTGCTCCCATGGAGAAAATCTCTCAGCTTTAGTTGTGTTTGTGGCCTGTGGGGGATACAGTGGAGGGGCTTCATTTGGAAKGCGTTTTAAGGCAGAAGTGTGGTTACTTTCACTCAGCAGGCGAGCGATGCTTTCAGCGTTCTGCAGTGCATTCTGGGAGTTTCTAAAGGGAGCTGAACTCGCCGTGCACTGCAGTGATTTTGGCAGCGGGACCTCCAGATAATGTCCCTCAGCAGTTCGGTCAGCTGGACGTGGCGACTCTTTAAATCACAAATTAAACTGCAGAAACACACTGCTGTAAGCATTTTATACCAGAAACTGCCCACAACAAAACCTTTGGCTTTAGATTAAATAAAGACTTAAAGGGAAATTGTTTTTTTTTATGATAAAAGCTTGACCCAAACCAGTTTAATTTGTTTCTTTTCTGAGTAATAATCTCTGCAGATGGCTGCAAAATCAAGCTTCCCTTTCACCCACAGACTTGGAGAGGAGCTGCTAATGTTTCCTGAAAAATCAAAAACCAACAGAGCGGCTATAAAAAGCCTCTTCCCACCACCTTCACATCTTCTCCCAGGACTAAATCTATTATACTGCTCATAAAATTCACAAACATCTCCTTTCGCTTACATTCAACATGTTTCCACCCCGACTCTGAGCAGCCTGGACCTGCAGAYAGCTTCGCCCAAAATCAGCTTTTTGTTCATCACTACAAGTTTTCAAAGTTCTGGTAAAAGAGCACCAAGAAGATCCAAATGCATTATTTAAAATTTTCCTTTATTGTTTGTGTTTCCCATAGAGTTGAATACATATCAGCAGAGGAGGCGTGGCTTATCTCATAGCATCTGTGACATCACGGAGGAGCAAAAACGGTGACAAGGCACCGGCTCACCGTCATCAACTGTTAGATTAACAGCAGCTGGATCTGTGTCACAAATTATCTGTAATATTTTATACAATAAATTAATAACTGTGTTAATTTCATTCAACAAAAAATAAATATTAAACAATAAAACAGCAGATATATACCAGAAAAATATATCATTTATAAGTGAGAATAATCTAAACAGACCTGAAACATTATGACTTCAGCTAATAATAAAGTATATTTATTATTTCTTATTGTCATAAATTATAATAATAAATATTTACCAGTCGACATCTGCTTATAGGATTAAACTTGTTTTTGTACTAATATTAGCTAACCATCTCCTCAGCAGGACAGGTTTGTCTAATAAAACCTAAAAATAGTAAAATATATAATATTTTACACTGCATAAATATTACCTAAATCAGAGAACAAATCAGCCTAATATTTAATAGTTTGTGTTAAACTGTAGCATGATTCAGCAGAGTGCCACATTCTGAATAACAATATGCTACACAAGCTAATATGCTAACTAGTGCAATAATTAGCAGTGATTAAATCAGATTTATAATCTTATTTTAATTTTAAACTGTTAAATTATTAGCT